CTCCCTGTTCTATCCGGCAGGAGAAGAGAGTGCTAGTCTCTGACCAGTAATTCAATGCCTCATGCAGGTAGTAATGAATGGCACAGCTTGTTGGCCAAACAAGTCACATGACCCCTACCTAATTGCAAGAGGACCAAAAAAGCTCATTCTCCCATGAACTCAGATGAAGACAATCAGCTATGGGTGATTGCTAAAGATCTGCATATAATACCTTATCTGTATTTGGTTCTTCTCAGTTTATATAGCACTTGCATACATTTTAAATAATTGCTTTTTTAAAGAGATAGTCTTTCTCTTTTTAAATAAATGTTAAGGCTCCTCACTGAGACCTCTATTTTCCTTTTCTCATCCCTTTGAGATTTCCATTGGCATGTTAATACTTGTTCCTACAAAGTATCAGATAAGTCAGTTGAGACAAGAGAGTTTATGTCAGTGAGAATATTTTGATGTTTACCATTGCTCTCAAAAATATATTTTAGTATACTCTAACACCACGAACTATCACCCAAAAGACCATTTCATGAGCTTTAAATTAAAAACAAATACAATGAGGCTCTGAAGCAATAAATATGTTTCAACAGTTGACTAAATTAGAAAGAGTTTGAATGGAACCATCTGAAATCTCACCCAGCCCTTGTTTACCACTCACAGCTATGCTAAAATGTAAAAGGGAATATAGTTCCATTTGATGGGGAAATTAAACCACAAAGATTTTAAGTAACTTGCCCAGGATCACACAGATTAGTAGCAGAACCAGAATTCAGACCAGGTTTCCTGGCTGAACTTTAACCACCATGTTACACAGCTTTATGTATTTAAAAAAATCCAATATTGCTTTCTGTTGAAGAAGACATCAAAGAACATGAATCTGGACAGGCAGACAGAACAGATTTGTTGAAGGGCCTTTTGTGCCCGGCTATGAAGATTTGATTAATACTCCAAACCAAGGCCCAACAAACTTTTTCTGTAAAGGGCCAGGCAGTAAATATTTTAGGTTTTACAGGTCCTATAATCTCTTTCACAACTATTCAACTCAGCCATTGCATTAAAGTAGCATAACAACATGTAAATGAATGAAAGTCGCTGTATTCCAATAAAGCTTTTTTATAAAACTGGACAGTAGGCTAGATTCGGCCCGTGGACCATGGTTCTCTCTGCTGTAAGCAATGAGGGTTTTTAAAGAATTCTGACATGATCAAACTGGTGGCAGATAGTGGTGTTTGGGTGTGTGGCTGGCGAAGGGTGAGAACAGGAACAGAAAAACAGTTCATATAAGAAGTAATGGTTGCCCAAATGGCGGTTGTAGTAGTAAAGAATTAGAAGAGGGCATGGCCAAGAGGTGTCTGGTGCTGGTGCAACTGATGAGTTTGTCATTCAGTTGACTGTGTGAGATGAAGGAGGGGAATAAATCCAGGAGGACTGTAGGTGCACAGTATTACCAGGCACCTGTTAGGGAATATAAGAGACAAAGTAAGATGAAGAGAGTTGAAGGGGAAATAGATACTTTGGGATGGAGCAAGTTTGAGATGTCTGGATTGACTTGATGTAGATGCCCATTAGAAACTTGAGTACATATATCTGGAGCAAGGAAGAGAAGAGAAGTCTAGGTGGGAGATACAAGTTCAGAGTCAACAGCGTAAAGAGGAATTATAAACTGTTGGAGTTTTGGAGACAGCCCCAGAACTAAAGAAGAGAAAGAGAGTGATGAGAGATTTATGTTATCAATATTTACATAAATTTCAATATTTAGGAGGGAAAACACACCTAGAAAGACCAAGAAAAGGCACAAGGAGCTCAAGGAGGAAACAAAATGAGGAATGAAAATTTAAGAGGAATGGAGAGATCAGCAGTGTTAAATGTTGCAGGGAAAATCAAGTAAGACGACTGAGAAGGGTCCATGGAGGTCAACCCCTACAGGGTCATTGGTGACATTAGAAAGAAGAGTCATATCAGATTGGAAAGAAAGACTGTCAACTTTAATCGACTGAAGCCAAAGAGGGAAACAGTCAAAGGTGATAAGGCAGTATCTCTTCAAATCCAAAGAAGGGACTATAGATGCTCAGGTGAGAACGGTTTGCACACATTCATGTGATGGAAAGAAACCACACAAGAAACAAAGAGAAATAGTTTGAAGATATAGGAAAGAAAGAGAAACCAATGGAAAGATTCCTGAGAAGTGTGAGCCGGTGTAATCTAGAGCACAAGGAAACGGGCTTGCTTCGGGTCTGAGGAGGCAGTGGAGCAGGAGAAATGTTTAGGCATGCACAGAAACAGATGCTGTGAGTGGAGAAGCAGAATGATGAGGAGTTCAAAGCTGATGAGCTTCTACTTCACCTGTGAATAAGAAGTGGCATCTTAGGTGCCTCTATATCTGAAAACCCAAGAAAGGTAGTGGGCAGAGTTAATTCAGTGTCAAAGAAACCACCAACCAATAGTTTCTAGAAGTTACAAAATCCAAATATTTTTGGTAAAAATTTGTGGGTACAGAAAGGGCAGCTGTCACTGCCTTTATATAAGTTTAGGTAAGGCTCCTTTATAATAGCCCCAGTAGCCATTTGTGCTCTTTGACATGTGACTGGCAGGTCCTTCACTACACGTTTCTTCTTAGACCAGTTACCGTGCCTGAGATTCCACCAATAGACTGTGTTTCTGTGGAGTAGATGTCTTGAGGATAAGGATTCAGAGTTTAGAGGGATTAGTTAACAACAAGCTGATGGCAAGAAGGGCAGCCTGTGTTTGAGGGTGGCTAGGAATCCAAAGAAAGCGAACTGTACTGAAGTCCAAGTTCACTGCCTTCATGTGAAGATGTGTGCTGGCCTCAAGCGCGCGCTGTGGTCATGTGTCTGTGCAACAACCCCCAAAAAAGCATGCATCCTTTTCAACTATATGATGCCTGTCAAAGTCAAATTCATGAAAGGGAAAAGTAAATACACCTTGGCTTTACTATATGTTATTTAGGTACACACGTTTTCAACAATATCCTGCAAAATAATACAAATGTGGAAGGAGAGATTTATCTCTGGGTACAGCAGTGCTGGAAGACACAGTGCAACTGTTTTTAAAGATTAGGAGGATAGGACAGGCTTGAGAGGAAGAATATTCACATCAGGAATCTGCTCTAATGGTGGAGTTTCTGGGAAGGAACATTCTGATTATGGGGTGACAAGATGGTAAGATGCAGCAGAGGCCTCACATACAAAACACCTAGGTTGACTAGAAGTGCGGAGTTGACCTGATGCAACACTTCACCTAATCAGAAGTGCAGATGGGGAACAATGGACCATCCTGAAATAAAGAATCCTGGCAGAGATTCAGGCCTTTCATGTCTGATCCCTCAGACACCCTAGAATAAACACAATGACTGAGGGCAAATTACAACAGGCCAGCGGAGAGGTAGCTCAAAGAAATTTTTCTTCCTTTCTTCCTTCCTGCACCCCAGTTAGATTCCACTCATCTTTGACCCAGTTCCAATGTCAGCCCCTCGTAAAGGTTTCCCTGGTCCTCCTCCAACCCCTCAAGAGAATTCAATGAGCCTGCCTTTGTGCTTCCATTAAATGACATTTATGCTGGGAGCTCAGCAGTTCATGCTAGTAGGTTGTGAAGAAGTCCTCCTTCCTCAATGGATGCCCAACCCTGCAAAGACAGGCCTGTGCCTCCTCATTTGGCCTCCTTCCCTCAGCCCCTAATTCCCCGAAAAAAATGTAATAAATGTGTATTGAATTGAAATACATATGGGAATTTAGCATATTGAGAATGATTTTGAAACTTCAATTTCTTGGCCAATTACACATAAAATTAGGAAAGTGGCTGAATGACAAATATTAAACTCTAAATCCTCTTCAAACGGTATAATAATGGGTGAAGCCAAAGGAATCTTTATTCTCTCCTTCTAAAAATGTAATTATGGAGAGAGAAATGACTGAAAGAATCATGTGCTCCATTCTCCTCTGCCTCCAGGTAGGTTATATTACATTATCCCAGACAGACAAAAATCTATTTTTTTATTTCAAAAACAGAGATTATAATTCTACCATTCTAGTATAAAAAAGGGCCTCACCAAAGCACTCCATTCTGACGGCTTCTCTAAAGCCCACATGGTACATTTTAAGTTGAGATAGAGCTAGATAAGATTTGTTTTGTTGTAACTGTATAAATTGTATGTACATACATCTATGTGTAATATGTATATAATAGATATAGAGTATAGATACATATTTTGCATGTGTGTTTATATGTATGTATAGAGAGAATTTGTTCTATTTTTTTTTTTAAGTTCCAGGATACATGTGCAGAACGTGCAGGTTTGTTACATAGGTAAATGTGTGCCATGGTGGTTTGATGCACCTATCAACCTGTCATGGTTCTGTTTAAATTTGTAATTTTCTTTTGTTATAATTTTATAAATTATAATATATATTTATATATAATACAAAATTGTATTTTATATATGTGCGTGTGTGTGTATGGGGATAGGGGGAGACAGAGAGTTGACTCTACTTAAATTTGAAATCTCTGAAATGCTTAAGTAAGGAATTTCTTTACCTGAAGTATCAAACTCTAGGATTTTCTAGTCTTGACCAAACCAGGCTTTAGACATGGAATGTGCTGGTAAAAAGATACACTAAGATGGCTCTTTAAGTCACTGTATATACAGTAGTCATTCCTAACTCACTCTTCCCTTTGTCTGAGATTTTAGGATGTGGGAACATATACATTTATTCTTTTTGTTTTCATGAGGCTTTTAAATCTGAATTTTTAGTCATCAGTAATCATTCCTATTAGCAAACAGAGGAAAAGAACTGAGGGTTAGGTAGTGAACAGACTAGTGAAGTATGGATTGAGGTTGTTGCAGTGAAATCTTGAGTGATTCAGGGAACTGAGGAAAGGCCAACAAGACAGCCCTGCATCACTGGATGACAGGGAGTTCATGTGGAACACCATCGGGAAGCCCAGGCCAGTTCCAGCCTGGGAACCTGGAGGGCTCTCTGTGGACCACCCACCTAGTTACTCCAAGGAGGTTATGCACAGGTTCTCAGTGTCTCCTCCGTGTCGTTATTTCTGGGACGACAGTCACATTTCAGGGATGGACTTTCATAACTTGGAGTGAAAACAAATCAGAGAGGCACTGGATATTTGGAAAGAGGACAAAAAGGAAAATGAAACGTTTATTAGGATAAAATGCAACATGATAGATTTAAAAGTAGTTTCCAGGGTCAGTTGGATTCAGATCCCAGTTCTGCCATTTATGTGTGAATTGGACAAGTCATTTTTGTTTTTGTCATTTATAAAGTGGGTACCAACTTATCTTTCTTGCAGAGTCTTATGAAGATTTAATAAAAATATATCTGGAATATAGTCTGTGCTCATTAGTGGCAGTTATATTACTTGTAACAAAGAAAAACACATTTATCTTATTAAAACTAAGAAGGAGACAGATCCTGAAGGAGATAAATAATAAGTAACTTAATTATAGAACATAACTACCAAATAACAATATGTAAAATAACATTGTACTTAATGTGTTTTACTGTTATACTTTAGTAGATGTGAAAAATTAGATTTAAGGTTCTCCTTAACTTTACTTGCTTCTCTCTCTATAAGGTCTTGTCTGCCTCACATGTGATCTTTACAGTGCGGGTGTATTCAACACAGTAGTACCCACCCAGATCCACTCTAGTGAGACTCAGTGCCCATTCCTCCAACTGCAAAGCATTGGCACGTTCGAAGGTAAGGGCTCCCAACTGAGTCCCTCCCTAGAAGAGAGCTGCCCTCAGCCAAAAAGAGGTGACTTGCCTAAGATCATCCTCCTCCCTAGGGTAGCCCACCCCTAGCACTGTTTGATGGTGGGTTACCAAGACCCAGCCTCTGGCCTCCACTGGGGACAACTCTGAAGGGTTTCCCAGGGGGCCAGCGGAGGCTCCTCCTGATGCACCGGGATCGGTTCTCTCTGCCCCATCCTGCTTCCTTTATTCCCTCAGGGGCTGACCACTTCCCAATCTCCATCTCATAGTCTATTTCTCAGGACCTAACCTGCAACAGAGGGTTTTAGAAAAATATATGTTGCCATCGGTGAAGGCAGGCCAGGACTCCACAGAGAAAAGAGAGAAGAATTTGGGGAAGGAATGAGTGACCAGAATGCTGCTGAGGCTAGTGATGATATCAAAAAATGTCTTGGAGGGAGTTTGAGACCAGCTTGGGCAACAAAGCAAAACCTTGTTTCTACATACATACATACGTACATACACACATACTTACATACATACATACAAATTTGCTTGATGTAGTGGTGTGAGCCTATACTGCCAGCTACCCAGGAGGCTGAGAGGCAGGAGGATTGCTTCCGCTGAGGAGTTCCGGTCTGCAGTGAGCTATGATTGAGCTGTGATTGTGGGCAACAGAGCAAGACCCTCTAAAGAGCCTTTAAAAAAAAAAAGAAAGAAAGGGTTTTGCTTTTTAAAGAATGAAAACGTCCTGAAGGAACTGGGGAGGGGCTGGGAGAAGAGTGAGGATGAGATATGGAGTGGCTTGGCATGGATGTGGAAAAGCCCAGAATCAGGGAAAACCACAAAATATGGCAACTCAACAGCAGAAACACATACCAAAAGAACAAGTCCCCAGAGGCAGCCCCACCTGGCTCCTCCATGTTGATGAGAAGAAATGCTGCCCTTACACGGGTCATCACTGTTCTAACACCCTATTTAACCAATACTTTCTTCTTTCCAAGTTTGTCCTCAACTCTAAAGTAGAAATCAAAGAAAGGCAGAACAAAATTGTCTTTACAGGCTTTTTCTCCCCCCTGGCCAAAGCAATTCCCTAACAACAATATTTACTTTCCTGTCCACTTTCTCTTCAGACAAGAAAAGCTGTTTTGACCTCTACAGCTTGTCAAACCACTCCTTTTATTCCAAACTTTCACATTGTAGCAATTACTTATGAGGAGTTTATAAACTCTACAAACTCTGGCTTACATCTTAAAGAGTGTAAATGTGCTGTGCCACCAATTCTGTGCTATTTAAAAGGGCAGATTTTATACTTTATTGTGAAACTACATGCCAGGTGTGCTGTAAACATGAGTGTCTGAGAGTTTCCTGGCTAGGCCTTCATAATTTGAGGTTTATTGAGCATTTTATTATTTCTAGTTAATAGTAGTGTTGTGTTTCCAGTTGTGCTTAGAGCTAGTAGTGAGTTTGATAAACTCAGGTTGTTTCTGCTAGAAGTTGATGATCAGGTTCCACCTGGCAGCTCTAGGATTATTTCTGTGAAAAATTCGAATGAAGGCTTTTGTTTCCCCCTTTGCAAGAGGTAGGATATGTTTTTCTTCCTTCTCCTCACTCCATCACAAGGTCTTCTAAGTTATTAAGAAATCATCAGCACGTGTATTATTCAACAGCTGTGACAGATCATTCTCCCATCAATTAGAGTCACTGGAGGGAATATTAGAAACCACTGGGGGTTGGAAAGAGAGGAAAAGGACTCCCCTTGGAACCACTGCTATCTGTGTCTGGAGGGCTGGTCAGAGCCACCACATAGGCCCTCCCCTCCCTCTCTCCAGGGTTCAGGGTGGAGCTATGAGGGCTTCACCTCAATCTGGAGCCTGGAGATGGGTGCAGCTGGCTTGTGCTCCATCTCAGGTATTTCCAGCTTAGACCTGGGTCCTGCTCCTTGCACCAGCCGCAGTCAGAAAAAGTAGATGAAACAGTTGGCCATTCACTAGCAAGTCCACACCCACTGAAATATGGGCGAGTGTGTGTATTTCTTTGCTAGGGTTGCTAAAACAAAGTACCATAGACTGGGTAACTTCAACAACAGACATTTCTCCTCTCACCATTCTAGAGGCCAGAAGGGTCATGCTCCCTCTGAAGGTTCTTGGGAGGGTCTGTTCCACCCCTCTGTCCTGGCTTTCAGTAGCCCTGGTTTGTAAATGGCCATCTTCTACCTCTGTTTCTTCACATTGTTATTCCTCTGTGTCCAAATTTCTCCTTTTAATAAGGACACTGAGTTATGCTAGTTGAGTAACCACACTGATGACCTAGTTTTAAGTTGCTAAGCCCTGTCAAGACCGACCCTATCTCCAAACAAAGTCTCATTCTGAGATATTAGGGGTTAGGACTTCAACGTACCTTTTTGAGGAGAAACAATTCAACCCATAGTAGCAGGCAATGTTCTGGCTCTGATAGTTGGATGCTTGGCTTTCCATGAAGAAAATTCTTTCAAAATTGAGATAAAGCCAGGAGATTCTTCAAACAGAGCCTAGCAGAGTGATTAATTAGGATCTAACTATATAGCCCTGGGGCCAGACAAAGCTGCTTGCAAATTACAGCTCCCAGGGTGCCTGGCCAGGCTGCCTTTCTAAGCCTCAGCTTCATCACCTGCAAACTGGGTTGAATAATGGTTTACATTTTCAGAGGATTGTTGTAAAGATGAAGTGAGAATATTATAAGGAAAACAGTAGGTACTAACGTTTAGGCACATGTTCTAGGTTCAATAACTCTATTAGCTATATTCAAATATCTAGATTTCTCCTTTCCTATAGTATTGGTCTGTTCTCATGCTGCTATGAAGAAATACCCAAGACTAGGTAATTTATAGAGAAAAGAGGTTTAATTGACTCACAGTTCCACATGGCTAGGGCGGCCTCGGGAAACTTACAATCATGGTGGAAGGCACCTCTTCCAAGGGCAGCAAGAGAGTGAATGAGTGACATCAGGGGAAATGCCAGACACTTATAAAACCATCAGATCTTATGAGAACTCACTCACTATCATGAGAACAGCATGGGGGAAAATGCCCCCATGATTCAATTACCTCCCGTTGGGTCCCTCCCATGACACATGGTGATTACGGGGATTATAATTCAAGATGAGATTTGGGTGGGGACACAACCAAACCATATCACCTACAAAATGAATAAAACTCCTCAGAGCACAGCTTGTGAGTGTTACTTAATGCATTGTGGAAAACCTCAAAGATTTATTTAGGGATAGTCCCAGCTACCCACAGAGGCAGAACAAACAAAGGCAAGCAAATCAGTAGAGTTAGAGCTTACCTTCCAGCCAGTCTAGAAACCTATTGTTTCTGAGTTCTTCCATGTTTGCATTTTCCAAACAGAGTCAGGTCTTTTTCTCTTCCTTTAAGAAAAAAACAACAACGAAATTCACTGACTGAGTCAATAGACACCGTGGGTCATCAAATTACAAAGCCAGTACAATGGATTTGAGAAATTGCTAATGTAATCAGATTTTGAACAAACTTTGGAAATAGTCTCTATTTCACAACACCAAGGGTTTTTTTCTAAACTGTTCATTGCTTTCAACAATCCCATTATAAAACCAACTAAAAGTAAGAAAAGCAAATTCAGCCGCAACCTATCTTGTCAAAACAAAGAAACCTTCCTCACTAGGAAGCAGTTTTCAGAGAAATATTCAATGCCAAATAATCCTATTTGAATTTTGCCACTCATAGAAGTTTAGAAAGAGGGACTTACGAAAGAAATTGTAGCAGGTCAGGGAATACAGTGTGCAGGAGAGATACACAAAAAGCCTTTATTGCTTCCTATATAAGTAAACAAAAAAGATGTCTGGATTGTTCATTGTAGGAAATGAAAATTATGAGACCCCACATCTTTACCTCTTAATATAATATTGAACCTGTCATAATAAAATGCTACTAAATTCTTTACTTGCCCCACCACTAAGAGATGCATGCTGGGCTTAATACCTAGGTGATGGATTGACAGGTGCAGCAAATCACCATGGCAGACATTTACCTATTTAACAAACCTGTGTATCCCACACATGTACCCCCAAAATTAAAATAAAAATTTAAAATACAGTAAAGTATCTAGCACAGGGTAGATAATCAATGCAAATTTTTTATTTGTTTTTACACAAAAAATGATCTATATGTCCTAGTTGCCCTGCAAAGTCCCAATTTATACTTGTCACCTTAACAAAAATATTTATAATGCCCACTTTCATTCTCAAAAATGTCCCAGTTTGGACAATGCATTGTATGGTCCACCTTTTTGATATGTGACCTAGAGAGTCTGCAAATACCCCACCATTTAGGTTTCTTTTTATGTTTGAAAAATGACACCTGATCTTGCCTTTGGGATTTTTTCTTTGGAGACTTATTTTCTTTAATATTAAATATAAGCATTTTTTCCTTATGTGATCTTAGACTTATTTCTGTAGGGGGTTTCTTTCCCTTTATTCTTGTAAATTAAGTTTTTCTGAACAGATTTATCAATTGACAATTTTTTTTTTAGTATCTACCATATGCAAAATAATTTAATATCCAATACAGGCAGTATTCTGAAACATACTTGAAAGCTCTCATTCCATTGAAAAATATATTCTTCCTGTGCTAAGTTACTTTTATAAGCCTTTTTGATTTGGAAATATATTGTCTTTGAACGGGTATAAAACTCAGGCAGTCCTCCAGGTTGGGCATTAGACCTGGGTTGTCTGCCCAGCTGCTAATTAGCCATGGAACACTAGGAAGGCCTTTCCCCCTCACTGCACCCCAGTTTCTCCATCCATAAAATGAGAGAATCAGATGAGATAATCTCTAAGGCTCCTTTTGGCTCTAAAATTCTATGATCTGATGAACCATCTCTTTTCAATTGATTAAAATGAGTGTTAAGAGATTTCCTAAAGTAAACACGCCAGGCATGATTCCAACTGGTTTTGTTTTTTCCAGTTTTCTTTCCTTCAGTTTTCCCTCTCAGACCGTTTGGGGGAAATATAAAGTAAATATCTCTGAATTGTCATTTAGACATAACACCTGGAAATTTCCTCTTTAGAATGCCTAAAACATTGCCATGTTAAGTCATTTAAACAGAAAGCTGAAAGGCAACAGACTCTGCACAAAAGTTGACTTAGCTTTAGGCAGGTGTGAATAAAACCACCTTGTTTTGTTATTTGGTAAGTTTGTGATCTTGTAACTTGTAACTTGGAAGGATAAAAAAACCAAAGAAGGATTGATGAAAAAAGAAACCCCAGTGTTTTCACCACCAACAGATGGGTCCACCCAAACCAGCTTAATGTTTCTGGTGAACTAGCCCCTTCATGGATGATCACAGTCTCTCAGCATCAAATGACCTTATTTGTTGGCTCAGTGGTTTAAAAGAAGCATTCTATTTCCCATGGTTGTGCTTCAATGTGCTCTAATCCACAGGGATTACTGTGGCAGAATGTTTCAACCCACTGTAGCTTTCTGGCACAAGTAATTTTCATCAGAGCAAAACTCATAGTCAATTTAGGACCAACAAAGATACTTAAATCTTAAAGTTAACATGGTAGAAGCCAAAATCAAATTATCTCAGTGACTTAATGTTTTTTTTAAAAAAATTTACATTTTTGAAAAGTATTTTAACACCACAAAAAAAAAAAATTGCAACTCAAACCTTGGTGGAATCAAAAAGGAATTTGCGTTTTGATTTTATGTACAGCTGGTGGCCAATGTGTTTATCTTGGTAGGGAGAGGGGGCAGGTGGGGGATAAAAGTAGTAGTTAAGATAAGAGAATGATCGCAGTATGGCATTTCTAAATAAATGAGAGAAAGTGGATGGCAGAATTGAAAATCTATGTACTCCACAGGAAGCAGATGTGGGAATAGGAGGAGGCACCGCTCACCTTCTGCAGAAAAGCAAAATGAAGACATCATCAGAGCACAACACTCACTGGAAGGAGCTCCTTGGGTTCCCTTCTAATGCCAGGGCGAGAATTCAGGGCTCTCTTGAGAGCACTATTATGTGCCTACTATGTGTCAGGCAGAACTGGCTACATAATTTAAGGGCCCCAGAGTGAAATGAAAATGTGAGGTACCTTGTTCAATAATTATGAAGAACTCCAGGATGGCAAAGGCAGAGCATTAGAGGAAGGCAAGGCCCTGTGCAGCTGCATGGGTCACACACCGATGCAGCCAAGCCTGGTGCCAGGCACACATGTGAGTATTCACGTTAGATCCTGTCATTTACTGAATAGCACAATAACTCTGCAATACTGGAGATTTTTAACATTAACCAGGCTTTACAGAAGAAGCTACTGAAGCTCAGAAAGTGATTTTACTCAAGGCCAATCAGCTAATTAGAGCTCATATCTTCTACTAAACACCACAATCACAGCTAGCCACTCCACAGCATACAGAGGTCAGTAAACCACTCAACATTGTACCTGAACTTCCAGTCTTCCAATATCTGAACTCAATCATGTAAGTCTCCTATACATGCCCTACCTGTTCTATCTGTGCTTTGCTCAGTTTTTGCCAAATAGGTATTAGCTAAGTAAACATGTGGATGAATACCGCATCCATTATAATAATAATATAATGTTCTTATACTTACTTACATTGTATAATATGATAATATACTTTATTCAGTTCTCTTTACATTTTTTTAAAGTATTGTCACATGCTTTATTTTTTTTCTAGGAAATTTGTATTCCTGGGAGTTTTAAATCATACTCATGATTTATAAATTCTCACAATTCTGAGCCTGCTATAGGACAAGAGATGTATCTACCAACATTTATTCAAAGTTGTTGGCTAAGCACTGTGCTAGCCAGTGAGGATGCATGCACATACGCAAATGCTCTAGTGAATTTCTTTCCCTTAAATGCCTTACCGTCTAACAAGACTGACAGGAAAACTACGGAAGGCACAGCAGTGTGGTAAGCGCACAAGTAGGGTGTGGACAGGCTCAGCCGGAAAACAGAAATAAATCAGACCCGGGACTTGTAAAATATTCCCGAAGAATAAGATGCTTTATAAAGGTGCACAGAAGGTTTTTGTTTTGTTTTGTTTTTGAGACAGGGTCTCGCTCTATTGCCCAGACTGAAGAGCAGTGGTGAGATCTCGGCTCACCACAACCTCTGCTTTCCAGGCTCAAGCAATTCTCCTGCCTCAGCCTCCTGAGTACTTGGGATTACAGGCACACACTACTACCACCATCTAATTTTTGTATCTTTAGTGGAGACAAGTTTTCACCATGTTGTCCAGACTGGTCTTGAACTCCTGGCCTCAAATGATCCACCAACCTTGGCCCCCGACAAAGTGCTGGGAGTATAGGTGTGAGCCACCACAATCAGCCATAAAATATATTTTGATAAAAAACCATGGGAGAAAATTTCAGAAGTAAGAATAACATTTGAAAACATCCATAAATTATTCCATAGTGCAGCATGGAGAAAGTGCGCATGTGCGGAGTAGTAGGAGACAAGAGTAAAGAACATGGGGACCGACCAGCCAAGGCCCTCCTGTACACAGCCTAGGGTACTGGCTTTCTCCTGGAAGTTCTGAGGAATCATCTTGGAGCCAAATGGCATTCCGCTGACAAAAGACTGGCTCTCAATTAGGGAACACTTAGAAATGGAAATCCTAGACTTCATAGCCAAGAAACAGCACCAGCTGGGCACCATGGCTCATGCCTGTAAATCCTAGCACTTTGGGAGGCTGAGATGGTTGGATCACCTGAGGTCAGGAATCTGAGACCAGCCTGGCCAACACAGTGAGACTCCATCTCTACTAAAAATACAAAAATTAGCTAGGCATGGTGGCAGGCACCTGTAATCCCAGCTACTTGGGAGGCCGAGACAGGTGGATCCCTTGAACCCAGGACGTAGAGGTTGCAGTGAGCTGAGACTACACCATTGCACTCGAGCCTGGGCAACAAGAGTGAAAATTCATCTCACCAAAAAAAAAAAAACAAAAAGAAAGGGCTAGACACGGTGGCTCAAGCCTGTAATCCCACCATTTTGCGAGGCCGAGGCAGGAGGATCACGAGGTCAGGAGTTTGAGACCAGCCTGACCAACATGGTGAAACCCCATCTTTACTACAAATACAAAAATTAGCTGGGCATGGTGGCAAATGCCTTTAATCCCAGCTACTCAGGAGGCTGAGGCAGGAGAATTGCTTGAACCCAGGAGGTGGAGGTTTCAGTGAGCCAAGATTGTACCACTGCACTCCAGCCTGGGGAACAAAAGTGAGATTCTCTCTCAAAATAAAAAATGGCTCCAACCATCCCAGTCCCATTCATCCTCAGTTTTCTAGAAGAGTTACCCCACAGATGTCTTAAGTGTCCAAAGAATGAGAAGGGCCAGACTTTATGGAATTCTTATAAGAACTGAT